ACGTTGGCGGATTCGCTTCTCCTGCGATAATGCCTTCTGTCGGCGTGTACGGAATCGATGAAACAAGCAGCCGTGTAACCAAATCCCACTGCCTTTTGCGGGTAGGCGATAGGCCAGTTAGCCTTTCTTCTTGGCTTCTGTTAGGCATTAGCCGGTTTAGCACTCTATATGAAGAAAATTGGCGGACAGTCGATATGGCCCAGCTCCTTCGCAGCCGCAACATAACGCCTTTCCCCAAAGCTCCATAGAGCTCCCTGAATAGATTTGTCATTTCATACTTTCAATTGTTCAAATATTTAAAGTGAGCACAAATTCATTGATAACGTAACATCCCTATTGAATGTCCTACTGCTACTGATAACCACAAATTGAATTATTGACCGTGTCTAGTCACTCTCATTGAATGCAAGTTTTGCGTGCTTTTTGTAAATAACACCAGAGTCTTGAGAAAACCAGTCCTCCATTGCAACGATACCGCTTGCTTTGACAGTTAATAAGCACAAAAATGCGTACGGCTTGAAAGCCGCACGGTCAGATTAGCCCTGGTTACACTGGAATTCGCGGCAACATAGGCCATAATTCGTTACACCATGGTGGTAACACTTCAGACTGTGCAAAAACGTCCCCAATCACTTGGCCTTTATATCTACTAAAGGCGACTCAAGTGGTATCAATTCCACAATTCTAGTCATGGATGAGTGCGCTCACCATCGCTGGACCCTCGGCACAAATCGGGTAAGGCATCTGAGACGAAACGTACAACCGAACACTGGGGAACCATACGGCTATGCAACCGTGAGAAAGGGTGACCAATGCGGCGGCGCTTTACGGATGCCCAAGATAGCGTTAAACTTTGGCGCAAGTCGCCACCCCCCGGAGAAATGTCAGCAAGCGTTGCGCTATCATTCTTATTTTACACAGGTACATGCGTGCGGGGCTACATGAGCCTGTTGATAGGCGAAACAGTGGTGAGGCCAATGCTGAGGCATCGTCTTGGCAAAGGCCAGCAGCAGGTGAGCGGGTGACATGGAACATTGGTAAGCACCCTTCCCTTGAATAAGCCTCAACAGGGCTGTTTGGCCTTTTACAGACACGCTGCTTTCTCGGTTCCTTTACTACTCACTTTTTCCTTTCTAGCATAGTCTATTCGGAACGCCTCCCCTTTTAGGGAGGCGTTCCATCTCTGTTCGAGGACGCAGCCTTATATAAAGCTATCTGTGCCTGGGCCAGCAGAGTGTTAAGGCGTTGCCTGTACTGTCCCGCCTAATTCCTGGGTTAGGCACCAAAACCAATTATGAAGGTATGGGTAGCTCCGTACCTGCTTCAGGTATCACTGGTTTGACGCACAAAGGAAAGCTTCGACAGTCCCCAGCAATCAAAAATGCCGCAGTCTAGCTGTCCTTGTGTCAGCGTGCACCGTTGCGCCGTTGGGGCGCTGCCTTGCGTCGAGGAGGCACGACTTCAACATGAGTACACAGCAGACGCTTGAGGCTACAGTGGGATTATAGTGAGGAGATATGTAGTCAAGTGCCAGCTGCATGGAGCGTCGCTGATGCGTTCGACGCAGACAGCGTTGCTCACAAGGCTCTGGATAGATCCACTGTAGCAAAATTCCCATGGAGAATACTACACCCATCAGCAGCGCGTGAAAAAAGATAGGGAGAAGCAAGTCGGAGACGTTTTAGATGCCCAATGGATAAATAAACGCTGCTTGGCTTTTTGAAGCCAAGTAACGCCATTGTGGTTACGCCGAGTAGGAGGCCTGTCAGGATACGAAGTGTTACGAACAGCCCATGCCGCAGGTAGCGTAAACCGTCCGCATCTCGAAATGCGTATGTTTCCCTAATAAGCAACTCATCGGCGGCATGTGAAAAACGGTTGTTCTAAAGATGTTCCTTGTCCACCAGTACTTCTGTAGCCACGACGTTAGTATGACTGACGAGAAGGCGACGCCTCAAAACGAACCCATTCTCGAAATGAAACCATCCTTGAACCGAACCATTATCAGAGCGTCTTGCATTTTCTGTGACGCTATTTCGTGAGAAAACCTCTTGGCCTTTGCACTGTTGACGCTAGCAGATCACAGGCGGAGGTGCTCCACACGGCTGATTGTGATGTGAACAGTGCACGAGATATGTTGAAAGAAATTGGAGGCAAAACAACCCTCCAGACTTTGTTCAGCTTTCGAGTACGGTAAGATGACATCAATGAGTGAACAATGCTCGTCTACATGAGGCTTCAGGTCAAGCAACCACTAACGGTGGCCTAAGCGCCTTTTCTCAAAGTCGTTGACACGGGAGTTGTTCGTATCCGAGGTGCAATGTGAATAAGAAGAAATCATAAATGTGCTCTCATGGCCATATTATAAGACAAGTATCCAATAAGGAAGGAAATATCTTTTCAAAGAAATGCCTGAGAATAATGCAGTTAATTGCTAAGCATCTTAGAGGCCGCTCGACAGGCCTACAAATCGCGCAACTGCGGTTGTTCTGGCAATCTCAGCATGCATTTTACGGTCTTCATTCGAAATCAGCAGTGATGGCTAGCGGAGAAGCTAGTGATCGTACGCGGGATGCTCGGCAGTCTGTGTCACCATCTACGTCAATCGCCAATCGCCCTTCCACGTTCCAAAATTGAAACGTAGCTCTAGTTCATTTTCACTAAACAACTGACTACACATACAGTGTGCAATGTAAATGGGAAAAGCGCAGTGTCGCTTATTCTGGTTTACTTTTAAGCAAATTTCGATAGATTTGTTCCACTGCGGTTACAACACTTTTAGATTTCAGCTCAGAAAGTTGACATATTCCTGTTGAGAGTCTATGCACAGGCCAAAAACTAGTAAAAGTTCAATGTTGTTTTTGTCAATTTTTGTACAGTGCCGAGACGAAGTCCCGCCGGGACCGTGTGCGTCGATGCTGGTGCCAAGAAAAAGGAGTTGACGGCGGGTCGCTGCTCTTGCATTATTCAGGAAATGCAAGGACAATCAGCCTCAGTAATGTGCTAGGTGAGATAACGTGAAGCGGACGAAAAAGCAATCACAAGGCAGGCCAACTTGTGCAGGACTGTGGTTAGAAATCCAGGTTGCTAGACACGCTCTGCGCAGGCGTGATTCCTGGAGGCCATTGAAAAGCCGTCGTCTGCGGCCGTTAGTTTTGAGTACTCATGTGCGATACGCGTTCCTTAACGTAAACCACACTCCGGGAACTAGCGGGCAAGATTGCAACTCAAGTTGGGGAGAGTGGCATAGCCCCATATCGAAACAGCATCACTTGGCATCTCTCTACTATTGCTTTCTCAACAAGACTTTGCGTTAAACTAGAATTACAGTGAGAGTAGTGTATGTATAAGACCCTACGCTCAGGGAACCTCTCCAATAGAAGTGATGTGAGGCTTTGATTGGTGTGTACTTTGCTTTCCAGCCACTCTGAGGTGCATAGGCGCATAGGCATCCGCAGAGAGGTTCCTACCCCGCGGTTATGGCACTGTTCCGCTGTGGGCCACTCCAGCCATGTGCAGCATAAAGGCTGTTTAAAATGAAACCCTTATGGTGCATGCGGAACAGCTCGTGGGATAGTAGCAACCGCGGGAAATGTGCCGCTGGTCCCCTGTATGAGAGATCCGTCTGCACCGCTCTACTGGTTGTGTAGTGCACAGGCACTACAATGGGGCTGGCTAGTGTCCTAGAGATGTTAGCTAGCTAGCTACCTACAAGGGGCCGCGACACTGGAGGAGGACAGAACCCTCCCAATAGGATTAAAATAAGAAAAACAGTCTATTAGTTCTAATGAATAGGTGAAATGTGTGGAAATTGTGTGGAGACTGAGGCTGGCGAAAGCGCCGGCGCCAGCGCGGGCCTCCTCCCCGTAGGGCCCACGAGGCGAGCTCCCAGAGTGGGGCGAATCGAAGAGACAGATTTGAAACACTTAACAATTGTTGTGTTATGATGGAATAAAGCTATAGTATCCGAGAAATGGGGCTATGCTAGGCGTAGTTTGTACGCCTGCTCGAGGCGCAGGAAGCAGCGTAGTCGCAGCAGTAGGCGCCGCACATTACAGGTTGCCTTCGAGCCGGCTGCTCTGCTAAGAGGTTTACCAATGATGTGGAAAAAGTTTTCGTAGTAGAATTTCCCTCTGACCGAGTTGTTTAGTATCGTGGAGTTGTTTTGTCTCTTTGCTACATATCCCGTGGAATACAGCGCGAAGCGTTCAAAAGTTCGTTAGGCTGAGCAGAATAGTTGCTCAAAAGCAAAGCAAAGTTAAGTCCGTCGGCGTCAATATGCATTCAGACTTTGGCAGCTAGTTTGATTCGGATAATCTAGGCACCGGTTGCTCGCGAACAATGTAGAAGCGGGTGCCAAGAAAGCAGGTGTTCGCCGTACCGCCCGCCTGGAATTTTAGAGAAACTTGCCCTCAAGCGGACGTCACGTCTTTACTTCTGAATAAAAACGATATCAATCTAAAAGATGCACTTTAAAAACAACGATTTGGTTTTTAGCTCATTATCTTGCTGGCTCCCTGGGGATGTGTTGCTCCTTTTCTACCTTGATGTGCAACAAGAAGTACGACGACCTTTGCTCAAGCGGGTAACCCGATTTTGGGAAGCAAGCACTTTTCGGAGTAATTAAACTATGCGCCTCATAGAGAGCTTGGCCCAGATAGCAGAGTAAGAATACACGAAAGGCCCCAGACAAAACTTCAACAGACGTGGGCAACATATGTAAGTTTTCAAGCTAGTATGAGGTGCAAACCGTGCAATGGTGCCCTGAGACCCTTCGTGCCAGCATTCGCCTGACGAACGAGCGACACTATCCGTACCTTCGCCTTCGTCTTCGCATGGGACATATCTTTTGGGTGGTGGGCGTAAGCATATTGAGGCCTCATCCACTGTCATGTTCGCCAGTCTCATATGCTTGCTTGGCAGGGTTCCTTGGGTGTAGTACGGTAAGGCTATCTCTCTGCAGCTTTTCTTCACCGGTCATGGCAGATCGGCAGCTCGCATCACTTGCCGTTCACATAGGTTCTCAGCTTGTCTGACTGGAAGTACCAAGCCACCTTATGTCCATTCAGCCAAACCAACCCTAGTACTAAGTCATAGGGAACGGGCCCCACTAAGAAGTCTCCTGAGTAGTTTGCATGTCCGCACCACATCGTCAACCCCGCCAAGACATGATCAATGAAAAACTGTTCACCGGTAACTACTCTAAACCTGTGCTCTACTTTGAGTCGCCGCACCTTGACCTTGAGCTGTTCGATTGTTTTAGGACTAATGAAGCTTCTGGAGGTTCCTGTGTCCAAGAGCGCGTCACATGGACTTCCTGCCACGTCAACTCGGAGTACCGCTGTCGCACGCACATAAAACAGTGCTCCCCCTTTGTTGTAAGCCTCCTTCGCAGAAGTCTTCCGCCACCACTGAGGCTCAATCTTTGCTTCTTCTGGCTTGTAGCCTTCTCTTGTTACCTCTGTAGGTTTCCTGCTGCCGTCCCTCTTCTCGCACGAAGCCTCTTCTCTCCGGATCGGTGCAGGTCGGGACTCCCACCGCATTTTCCATGGGGGTTTAGCCCTTTGCGCATGCTCATCTCTTGTATTAGCTCTATCCTCCGTGTTGAGTAGTTTGCTTCCCCATCCGAAGGAGACTGGAATGGTATTAGGTACAGTCGCTACTGCACACATCACCCCTTTGCCGTGGCTAGGTGGCCCAAAAGTTTCCAACCACGCCTAGGCTCTGTCGTTTAAAAGCCCTCTCAGCCCTGGGACTAGTGGGCTGTCTACTGCTCTTGCCCCTGTCTTGTCAAGCCCTTCCAAAAGCCTATGCGTTACCGCCTCCCAGCCACTTAAATCGATAGTTCGCCTTAAATGCATCCAATAAGTCAAGGTTGGGCCCACAAGGTGGTCAATAAGCTCGCTCCCCAGTTACGGGGCTCTAATCCCAGTGGTGTGTACCGTCGTTTGATGCGCAACAAAAAGGCCTGCATAGTACTACCATCTTCAGGAAGGATGGGGAATGCTGCGCATGATGCCCACGGCCCCCCCATAGCATTCTTTAACACAGCCGCTGCGGAGTTGCGTTAGTTCCATGTAACATACGGACTGTCTGCTGGCAGACCGGCAACACTAAGTGTAGGTGCCACCTGCTGGGGCTCCCCCTTATGCAGATACGGCCGTTCTGCTACGGTAGGTTTCGGGGTAGCATGACGATGTTGGGCGGGTGGCCCGCTGGGCATTTTTCTTGAGGACATTGCAGACGTCTCCCGAGTTGGGCCGATAACGCGTCCGTTGCGCAGGTGCATTCCTTACCGAGAAAAGCTGCCTGGGTGTGAATCAATAGGGCAAGTATTGCAGGTACTGCGACTCCTAGGTCCGGAAAAGAAAAAATTTAGATTCCGGAGTAGCCCCCAAATGGACTGCACAGCGTTCTCTGCTGCTACTACGTTACTACCTGGCCCACGAATGCAGCGCCCTTTTACAAATCCTCTACATTCAACGCATATCTCATGAAACAAATACCAAACTGTCAATAAAAGCAGTCATCGTTCCAGTTTCCTAAAAAGTCCCTCCACACTCAGGGTCCTTGCTTTCCCCGTGCTGGCCTGATTAGGATTGAAAGTGTGTTGTGGTCTCTTTTTCATGCATTAATTGTGCAACTGCGTGTTCTCGGTTCATAGGAGCCTCTTAAATTCTGCATGAAACTCCTAAACAGAGCAAGATAAACTGAAATGGACGTTGCTGAGTGGCAGTCATCTTCACCCCAGGCAGCAGGAAGAGCTTGCCGAGGTTCTGCTCTGATATACATACAGTTGTTCAGTGCGAAAGGAATATGCAACTCTTAAAGACAAATGAGAAAAGTAATTTGTGGGTTTACTGGTCCGAACCTTTCCACGGATGGCAGAGAGGCGGGGCCGAATGGGTGAAACCATCGGGAAATTCCGTCTGGGAGATTCTCTTGACTGCGGCGGAGTGGCAGTGGCAGCGTCTTTCGTTATATTACTTTTACTGCATACCTAAAAGAATCTCTCTCTGAATCATTTGTACTCGACACTGACGCCATACGAGTCTCTTAATGCACGCCTCAAATGCATCGAGTAACTGGAGCGCGCATTTTAAACTGACGGCCCTTCCTGCTTTATTGGTGGAGCTCCGTCTTTTGATGAGACACTCAGAACGTTATTGCATACTTGGTGTACGAATCCATCCAAAAGCAAAGGTAAAAAGAAAACACATGGATTTGCCTATGCATACTGCGGCGCTGATTGGAAACACAATCGCTCTGGTAGCCCTTTCAAGGCTGAACCGGGCTTGGTGGAGCTGACAACATTCCCTGGAACGCCGCTAACTGCATTTACTGTCTCCAGCGATATTTTTCGCAGTAGAACAGTCGCTGAACGCTCGATGCAAATGTAAAAATACGTTGTTACACAGCTGTGCAGAGGATAAACAAAGATAGTGGATATCGCTTCAAGCTTCGTCCAGGGAGCTTGAGTGTACGAAGCTCTGACGGCGCATTTTGTTTCAACGGAGAGAAACGAACAGCCAACGTTCCCCTGCGCCACAGAGGCTTTAGCCTGATCCGAAGGTTGCACCCCACTCAGCGTATCGCAGGACAGCATCTGCGCTGACAGACGGCCGCGTAGCCTGGAGCGCCGACTCAAAGTCCGCAGCTCCAAGTACCGGCTTAAACTGAACAATAGGACAAAAGTCGGCAAAAAGTAAAGGTTGGTTGCGGGAATGTGCATCATCTGTTGCTTCTAGATTTTAGTCTCGTCATGTTCATTGGCATATAAAGTTCACTTGTATCGGAAGTGTGCATATTTTCCTGCCTCTGATGCTAGTGCAATGTTTACTGGCATCTAAAACATTTTCATTGTACCTGTATGCACTTATCGTTTATCAAATATTTTATTGCAGCGTATTTTCCAAGTGTATGAGGACGGATTCCTGGGAGACTTACAGTACTTCTATCTATGGCTTGTTCAATAGAGTCTTCAGGAATATCTTTCAAGAGGCGACGAACCGGCTGCATTGCAGCCTCTCTACAAAGGCTGCGAAGGTCAGCGCAAGAAAATCCTTCAGTGCGCCGAGCCACTTCTTCTAAATCTGCAGTGCTGTCCAACTGCAAGCATGCAAGATTGGAAGGTTCTAGAAGCAAATGTATAAAAAACGTGCGGAGATAATATAGCAGCAGTGTAACTCCACTGCGCATTTGTTATTAACAAACAAATTTCCACGCCACTGCCAGTGCCTCGCATGCCAGAAAGAGGAGGATTTTCTCTCTGCAACTTACCTGTTGCTGGCTGAGCAAATGGTCGAGTAGGGCTTTTCTGGTGAAGTGATCTGGCAAGGGTATGAGCACGCGCTTCTCCAGACGCCGTCGCAAAGCCTCATCCAAGTCCCTGAGTCACACACTTTTACATCAGCTAGTGTGGTTTTTGGGCCGAGCATCACGGCAGATACAGATCGCATCACTGAAAAATCTTGAAGCACAGTGGTGGGCTTTCAACATTAGTGCCACGACGTTCTAGATCACGAAAAGATGCCTTGATAAAACTTTTTCGTTCTCTGTACCATGGAGAATTCGTTGCAGCTATGACAACGACATGAGGCGACTTCCAGTGATCATTGCTCCCATGTGAGGGCTGTGCTTCAAATTCATGTACTCTAGGCGGAGGCCTTCCCTGTTGGTACAGGCCATCCATCTGTTGCAAGAGCTCGGCCTTGAACCTTTTCGATGCTTCATGCTCTTCAGAGCTTCCTCGACGACTGCATAGTGCGTCAGCTTCATCAAAAAATAAAACGCTTGGGGCTCGTGCACGTGCCACCTGAGAAGGCATTAGAAGTGCCAAGTAGCTTTTTGACTCGAGCTTGAAGGATTTTGCTCTTTAAAAAAATGCTGTGTGGCGCATGCATCGGCGCAGCCTCTCACGTTGAACAGGGCTCGAACCATCTTCTCTGATTCCCCTCGCCACTTGGATACCAATGTTGCGGGTGAGCAGCGAAAAAGTGAAACTCCTGGTACGGATGCGGCAGCGCTAGCCAGCATAGTTTTTCCTGTTTAGGCAGCAAGCAGAATCATGCCTGATAGGCGCTTGCTCCCTAGTGGAACGCACGGAACCTCGAATAAAAAGCTTCTTACTTGACGACTGCCCTTTAAGGATGACCGAGATTTCGTTCGGACTACAGTGGAAGAGCTTTTGGCTAAGCGCACCGGTGCCCACCTGTGCCAGGCGGGCCAAAAAGAAGTACTCCTTTCGACGGCTCCAGAAGGCCGGTAAGGATATCCGGCATTTGTAGGGGCAAGAGCACAGCTTCCCTCAGCACAGATTTTGCAGATGATAGACCCATAATGTCTTTAAAACTTGTCCCTGCAGTTGTTAAATACCTTTGAGCGACCCATAATGACAAAACTGATGCGCCGCCAGCTTATGTGCGACGAACAATGGGCATCCATGCATTGATTTTTAAGCATAGCACTCCTCTGGACGTTCGTTTAACTGCTGTTTTGCTTTTCAGCTACTCGCAGAGTAGGGAGTAGTGTCAGACCTGGACACCGCCAGAAGAGCTCGCGCTCTACCAAGTGCATCAGATCAGTATCGTATTTTTCGTACTCATCAGATGCCTCTTCCCTACAAAGCACAAATGCACCTCATTTAGCGGCTCAGCCTACTGAATCCTAGATGAAGCTTTAGAGTCGATTGGTGCAAAATACATGAGCGTGGCTTGTCAAGTACTGAGCGCATTTTCTTGCTTTCAGCTCATCGTACTGGAGTACGGAAGAATTTATCTTATCGAAATACGATAGCGATCGTTGAGTGCCAGTCCCTGTAAAAGTTACGCAGCGCAAGAAGGATGCAAGTGTATTATACGCTTTTAGCTCGGACTGAATGCTCGAGGGTTATGCACTGAAAGCGGATTAGCATTTTGGCACACGCTGCAAAGGCCTGCATGCTGCGTTGAACATATCTTGCCTTTTTCCGGGGGGTTCTCAATGGAAAAAATCCTGAAGCATTTCACTATAATGCGCGTCATTCCGTACACGCCAATCCCCACTTGCCCGTTATAGACGCTCATACTAGGCGAAATATATGCTGGGTTTCGACGAAGCTTAATATCTTGGCCGAAACAGCAGTCTTGAATCCACAAGCTGTCAGATATCAGTAAAAGCGGATGTTTGTTGCCTTGCTTCAAGGACCACTTAGTCCTGATGCTAGCAGCTTGCTATATATATCAAGATATGTCTTCATGGAAGATTATCGAGCATTCACAAGTGGGCAAGAACATCATTTACTCGGCACGTTGTTAGCAGCGAAATACCTTATGGAGTCAGAGTCGTAGTGTATTGCAACAGTTATCCATGTATGGGGTAGTAGAAGCTCAGCATTCTCGGCCGCCTGCAACCCAGTACTCGGCCAACCCGTCCCAACGAATCGAAGACAGCGGTGGAACGCAAAGTGAAAAAGGAGACCACCCCGAAATAGCCAGCGCTTTGCTCTCTAAAACTTAGCTCATTATTGTCCTACCATCAAAAGTCGAGGCGCCATTCCGGGAACAAGACTTTCAAGCCGAATGGTCCTACATGACATTACCAGATAATGCCATACAGGACGATTTTCACCAAATAATGCACGCTCAAGTGCTTGGCCAACCGCTTGCGTTTCGGCGACGTTGCGTTATGCTTGCAGCTCTACTCTAGGTATTTAATTACTGACAGAAGAGTCTACTATTATTTTCTGATCAAATCCCATTTTGTAAATTGATTCGCGGAAGAAAAGATTCAATACTCTTCACATGTCTTCGGCATGCAGGGCGAAGGTGTTGCAAAGGGAACGACAGTAATTCAATGTAGCATCCATACCTGGACGACGTGTTGATTTGAAGTGAGCAAAAGTCACAAACGCCGCTAAGGTCTCCAGCCTGAATGACGAGTTACAGAAAGTGTTCTTGCACTTTAACAAAGTGGGCGAATGAATTTTTCGGAATAAAGTTAACATTAGTCTCTCTTTCAGCAATAGACCGGATCTGTATTGCGTTTAGCTCTGTAGGTAGTTTTCATCACCTTCATCATATCGAAGAGTATACAGACGGCCTGGCCGTCGAAAGCACCACCTGGAGAAACCTAAATGAACACGGAGCAGCGCTTGTGGCAGTGCTTTGGCTCTTGGCATAGTGTTCGCTGTGCAGAATTTCTTGTGAGTGAGCTTCCTCGCTCCAACACGAGTTATGTAGCATTCCTTTCGGTAAGTACGTAAACGGAAACTAGTGCGGATGTGAAGTCGCGGGTCAACGTAGATGGATTGATAGAGTTGCCATTCACTGATTTTCTCTTTGTCTTACTTTAAAGGTCGCCTGCAGGGCATATTTCCCCTGCTGCAGACGTTTGCGTTCTTCTTTAGTGCCTTCGTAACAGGCCACGCAAAAGCCTGCGGTGCAGCCGTCAATAGCTAGGCAGCCGCCGTTGTTTGAACTCACTCTCAATGTCCCGCGTTCTGTTAGCTTTCTCTGAAAACATCAACTGCACTATCCTGCCACTCTTAGGGGTTCTTGTAGTAGTAGTGGATAAAAGCAATTAGGGCCATTACAACTCATTTCGCAGCTGCTGAAAGGCTGGTTTTTCAAAAGGCAGTTTCCTTTACAAATGCACATTCGGATACTTGCTCGAAAAGTGAGCGAATGCTAAGCTTGTTTTTACTGGTGGCTCTGAGGCTTAAGGAAAGTCTTTGCTGGATATATGCAAAGCACGAGAAACGTGTACATTCCCACCCATCCTACGCCCTGGCCCCAACGCGGTTCAGTCAACAGCTCTTCGTCGTCCTTTGTGAAGAGTTTGCTCATTGTATGGGGTGGCGAAACGCGTTGTGCTGCTGGAGCTGGAGATGGCGTTATAGCGACAAAAGAGGCACTCTTCGTGGCAGTAGTGTAAGGGAAGCGCCTCTGTGAAGCATCTCTGGTGCGGAGACTCTCAGCGCATAGGCGCTCAAGAGACTGCTCCTCTACACAGTTACTTGCTTGCTGCCTTTGTAATCGCTTCATTGCAGGAAAGCACCTGAACTTGAGGGATATTTTAGTATCCTATATGTCAAAATGTATTGAATCAATCTAACTTTTGCGTTGCTGTTGCTTTGCTCTTGCGCTTAGACACTTTCAATTCAAGTTGAAGAGAATCCAGCCAATTCTTGGTCTAGCAGTTGCTGTCTCACCAAAATCCAAAACGACAGGGATTGGGCGGAGCTTTGGTGTGGGTCTTCCTGTGTATCGTGCTGCTCCGTGAATTTCCAGTGTATCAGCTCTTTAAATGCAGCGCATTCGCCATTTCAGCCACCAAAAATGCATCTAGAAAGCTTGGCTGCTGTGTTATGTGGGCTACATCGCGTGCAGTTGTGGGACTGCAGTACTTCTTCTCCACAGTTGATGAAGGCCAGCGGATGTCAATTGCGCACTGACTACAAGCAGAAACCAGACCCTTTATCACGTAAGAGGCCTCTCAAGTTCTGTTGTGCAGAGACGCAGAGACTTGCTGAATGTTTTGGCGGGAAAAGCATGTAAAGTGGCATATCCCTCCACCACTACACAATTTCGCAGCAGGATCTTCAGGCAAAGAACACTGCTTTTCTCCCATGACGAAGATGATGCAGAAGAGACTTACTATATGCATCGCGTGCAGCTACAATCATGCCTAGTCCACAAGTCAATTTCTACCCGTCACAGTCAATGAAATGAATATTCCAAACTCTCTTCCGGTATCACCGGTTTCGCGAGTAAAAGCAGAATAACTCAAACTAAAAATGCGCATTTCAGCTTTCTAACACTAATAATAAAGGCAAACACGTCTGCATAAGGAAGTACGCTCATTCGTTCTGTTTGTTTTGATATATTGGAGCTGCATGCAGCTACAGTCCCTAAAGATGAGTAAAACTGCGTCGGGCGCAATTTTTGGTATAGGGCTACTCCAGTACTGATCTTTTTCTCTGTTAACTTCTCGCTTTGGTGGGAGTAACTCAAGTTTGTGCGCTATGTGAGACACTCTTCCTTGCAGTCTAGCATCTCATACCTCTCACATTGTAATGGTGCGATGTACCGTAGCAATATATACTTATATTGCGGTCATGGCTTTGAAGATGGCGGTATTTTCTGAAGCACTACTGTCAAGCCGTAGTTTAGTGTTGTCGTGCCGCAAACCGACGGCATTAGCACATGCAAGACAGCTGCCATATGTCCTCTTCAGTAGCACTCTCTCTCTCTCTCTCTCTCTCTCTCTCTCTCTCTCTCTCTCTCTCTCTCTCTCTCTCT